CATAGTTAATAAAACGAACTTGAATCTTTTTACTGCGAGTTTCTTACTGTATAATTTTTGCACCAACTTTCAGGCTTGAAGTTTAAATGCAGAAAAGCCTTTTTCAAGGAATTTTTTTTAAAAAAAACGTAGTGTTGACTGGAGTTCTTTCAGTATAACTGTGAGTGCATTTCAAAGCACAAATTTATACCGACACGGTATTTTTCATATTTAATCAGAGCCGGTTTCTGGATGATCTAGCAAGAACTGCCTTGTTCTGTTCAAAACGTCTAAATTTTATGACAAACCGCAAAGAGAAAAATACTTATCTGTTAGTTTATCTAAAATAAATGATACCAAGAAGGGGATAAGAATAATGTAAGTTTATTAAAACCAATTTATTACAGCAAAGCCCTTGCAAACAATTAAGCACTTTGTAAAATCTTACGCAAAAGCATCTATTCCCATAGAAAGGTAGCATATTTATCTGTCAGAAGCACTTTTAACCTATGATTTTGACAGATAATAAAATTATCCATGACACATTTGATTTTATTTATTATAATAATGCGGACGTAATTATTTCATCAAAAAACTCATAATAAAAATCACAATCTGAGCAACAAACTGCTTGAGTCAAAATGTGTACTGTGCAAATGTTTACTTCCAGATAATTGCGTAAAGTGTATCTGATATCAACCATATTATGCGGGGAAAAAAGAATAACAAAATGAAGATGAATGCAAGAAAATGGAATGCCGTGACCAGGATTCGAACCTGGGTTATTGCGGCCACAACGCAATGTACTAACCACTATACGATCACGGCGACAGCAAAATGTTCAATTAATTGAATAGCTAAAGTTATTTTTCTTGAAATAGAGCACATTTTCCCTTTAAGTCAACTGGAACTGATTTTTTTTCATGACCTAATTAAGTAGATCACATTGCAGACACTAGATGGCAGCACACAAAGTTCAAACGTCCTATTTTTACGAACCTTATTTTTTATAATTCAAAATTAATGGTTTAAGTTTCTCAAAAGCATGTGTAAATTCTATAAATTAGATGGTTCTGCAACAGATGAATTTAAAAGAAATACCTGCCGGATCAAAATATAAAGCTTGTATGTTTCATGATGGCAAATTAAAATGTAAAATTTTAAATATTCTGATAGTCGTTCATGTGCAAGTGCATCATTCTAAGCTACTCATTATGAACTAACTAAATGTACTAATAAATATAATATAATAATTTGATAATATTATGATTTCCCAAATTATTCAATATCAGCTTTAAGTTCTTAACATTTGCGATAATTCATATTACATTTTAAAGGATACTTTTGTTTACTAATCTCTCGCCTTTTTTAATGGGAATGTGTGATTTTATCTGAAAATGTACATTGGCTGCAGTGAAAACATTTTCATTGGTACAAACGGTTTCATGACGAATGTGATGAAGCTGATGATGAATCAAGGAGCGTCATCGTTCGTAGTCTCAAACCCGATGCGAACAACGAAAACAATTTTGCTGAAGAATTGTCATTTCGTCTCTTCGAATGCTAGGGGTGAGCTTAAAATCAGTTAAAGGTCTGTTCCCGTTCTATTCCCACGCTCATTGACTACAACACTAAAAGAAGATAGAATTTGTGCATATCATGATTTGATTCAAATGGTTGATATTAATGAAAATTTTTTAAACAGGTTATGACTAGAGATAAAACATGGTACTTTGCTTATAATGTTGAGACAAACGACGTTTATCTTCATAGGCTGTAGAAGGAGCAATCTCAGCTATAGAAAATTTAATATCAGATACCTCGAGTTAGGCATCTTTTATGATTGGAATAATTTACAAGGATTTTATTTCGTAGAGTTAACTGTAAAACCATAGTTTATAAAGATGTAGTGCAGAGACTTAGAAAGAGTATTCAGCTCGTTAGGCCTAAAAAAGCTGAATCGAATAACTAATTTGTGCGTAACAATGGCCCGTAACTTAATTAACTTTTTTTTCCCGACCAGTTTCTAGCAAAGTAAAGTGTCACAATTCATAATCGCTTCTTCATTCATTAGAATCCGCACCTCAGAACATGTTCTTTCTCAAATCGAAACCTCACGTCGAAGGTCATTATTTTAATAGCTTGGAGAGATTTAGGAAACCAATACGAAAGATTTGAAGAGCATTATAAAAGATTAGTTCTGTGAAGGAATCAAATATGCGCTAAGCATTGTATAGACTTAACAAGGATCGTTTATTTAAGACAAAGAAATAAGAATGTTCTTTTCTTCAACTTACGATATTGTAGTAACTTAGTACTAAACTTTATAGACGTATTGTATCTAACCATAATGTTTTTTTGAAAAGTTGAAAGGTCCTTTCGATGTCGTAAATCCCATTTACAACTTTGCGGATATTCACCAATATAATACGAGGTGCTAAATGTTTAGAGAGAATCATTTGTAAAAGTAAATGCTCTGATTGATTCCTTTAAATAGCTCGAAGTAGATGCTATCGTTTTCACTACGGGAAGGAGGACTCGAAATTCTATTTTATCAAAATAGAAAGTCTTACTAACCCCATAAGTTTTAGCTGATTACAGCAAAGCATGCGGGAGCTATCTGGCCAAACTAAGGGTGCTTTCATGGAGGAATTTCTGAGGTGGATTGGCTAGTATCCACGCTATGCCTGGGGAAAATCCCGAAACGTCCATGCAGCCAGCCCAGCACCTTTGCGATAAGCGTACAGCGATTTAACCGCTGGTCGCTTTTTAGCCCCATGCGTTATAATGTACCCAGTGTACGCAAAAGTCCTTACCCGGGTTACCGTAAAATATTAATATATTAAAATAAATTATCTTTTGTAACTGGAAAAATTCCTGTTTTTCCAGTTTAAAATATTTATAAATATAAATTTAGAAATTTTTCCGGTTTAAAATACTACTTCTATATAGTTTATTGAAAATATTTTACTACAATAGAAATCTAAATAACTTAAAATACTTGCTCTAATTTATTCCAATAATTAGTCCCATTAATAAAATTTATGTTCCTTGGAGATGATATATATAAAAAACTTTTCTAATAATAAATTATATATATATATATCGTATATTCTGGCGTCCAACGTATACTAATACAGGAAATATGGTCGAAATTTACGGGTTGCGAGTTATACGCCAGATATAAAAATAAGGAATAGATAAGCATGGAAAAACTAGATTTCTACATGTACCTGAATGCTATTTATTTAAAAGAAATCACATACCTCATCAATTTAAAAATTTTCATTATAGGATAACTTGAAAAGTTCTTCATATTCATCTTTTGTTATACCTTCAGGCATATTGTCGAACTCTGTCTTCTCTTCACCGTCATTGCTACTCTGATCCATAAATAAATGATCATCTTCCGTCATCTAGATTGCTAGATGTACTTACTTTAAATGACTTTTGAATTATATCGTGTTCAATCTTATTCCAGGCTTTTATTATCCATTCACACACTATTTCGAGACTTGCATGAGCATTTGCTCTCCTTTTGTAAGTATTAACACCAACGTAACATCTATGTAGTCCACTGTCGTATTAAATTTTCTTTGAATGCTTTGTTAATGCACATATCTAAAGGCTGAACTAATGGCGTTAATTCACCTGGAATAACTGCCATGTCTCTAATGCACTATTCCAAAAATTCCTTCATATTATTCGTTAGATAGCATCTGAACATGTCCCAAACTAAAAGACAGTCTGGATTCTTTACGGCAACAGGAGGCTTTTTTATCAAACATTTCTTATTCACAGGCTCACACCGTTTTCATCCATCCATTCCTTCTTGTGAATATGACTGAAAACACCGTATGGGAAACTACATTTCGGCGTCGTGTTTCTTTTATAAACAACCACGGATTTTAATTTTGTGCCGTCCACTAAGCAGGAAAATACTACACTGAAGTGAGAATTGTGATCTGTTATTTCGACATGTACTGTTTTTGTTCCTTTCAGACCAATTGTTTTATTTCCTACCATATCAAACATTACTGGAATTTCCTCTAAATTTCCAACAATGCGAAATAATTTTTTTTTTTTTTTTTTTTTTTTTTTTGTCTTCGTCAGTTAATAACATATTTCAGGAAACTTACCAATTTACTGTCCAAATCTTTCGGAAGCCTTTGCGAAATTTTGGTACTTTAAAGTTTTTACTTTCCTGCACTTTTTTTTTCTCACGTTAACGCAAATTACGTACGCTGTTTCTCGTTACAATTAATTTATTTTGGATATTTTCTAGAACTCGGCTCGAAACACATGCTACTAGGATAGGTAATTTCGCTACTCTTCTATGCAAAGCACATTTATTCTTTGGCATACTAATTATTATGATTTCATTTTCCTTCCACTCACGCATGTAGCTTTCACCAACACTAAAACATCCTTGCTGTAGTACGATTTCCATTTCCTTTCACAAACTAAATAACATTGCATTTGAAGCTAGCATTGTATTTGTTTTGTTTAGCAGAAGCCATGTTTACTAGCGAAAGAAAACTATATCAATTGTATTTCAACTAAAGCATTACTTTAAAAAATTGTGAAGTTGAGTTCCACGTCTGCCCTTATTGCACCATATCTCAGTGTACTGTGGAAAGCAAGTAAACCACGTTTTGATGTTTCTTCTTACTTTGAACCATTAAATGGTGTAACACTGAACAGAATATTTTTACAGTGTAATTCCGTGAATTTATTCGGGTTGGAAATGCATTCTTACCCCAAATTTTCAATCAATTTTGCAATTCTGGTTGAAATAATAAAATAAAATGAACGGGAAAATAAAATTCCCTCATTTGTATTACGGATAAATTCATATTTCGCCTGCCCAAACTACCCGAATACTTAATGGACTCTTTTCCCATTCAGACTGAAAATTTGAAATTACTACGGTTTTCATTGCTTATCATCCTTCAAAAGAGATTTCCTTCAAACAACGAATTTGCTGTTGAGTAATGACATTCATTTCTATTTAATTTTAGGTAATTTTAACATTTCTGGGTTCCTTGTTATCCTGTGACGCAACTTACTACGGCAGATATGCTGGCAAGTATGTTGTAGGTGGGCTGGGATACGGCGTTCCGGGACTAGGCTACAAAGGACTACCCCTTGCTGTTCCTAAACCGATATACGCCTACGGACTTCCTAAGGCTTCCTATACACATTTGGGACTGTTGAAACCTACCTATACGTTACCATATTATATGAATGGCTTACTGTATGACGGCGGGCTCCCACCTGCTTTGCCAGTACCACCATTAAATCCTGGATATGGAGGATATTTTACCAAAGGTTTAATCTCATCACCAGTCATTAGGTATGGATATGTGCCTCCAGTTCCAGTTTATGGAAAGTATGGATATCCTCTGAAAAAGCGGTGATGACACCAAATTTACAAAGAAGTAAGAAATTTAATTTGTTAAAATTTATATGAAGCTTTCAATCATTATTTAATCAGTAGCACGAGAAAATGCTCAATCATATTCTAGATAATGCAAAATTATGGCAAAGTCAAATGCTTGTTTGGTTTTCTTCAGTTGCATTGCCATATACTGATGCATGTACTTAAACATGCCAGCATTACTGTATACTGACGCATCTCGAGAAATAACTGCAGAATATGTTACATATAAAATTCATTGAATTTAATTTTTTCTGTTAAAGATTTAATCTACAATAGTGCATACTTTCTCAGGTGCATCTGTTTAGAAATTTAGATGTATCAGAGAGGCCATATATCTGAGATGCGTTCGCCTCTGTTTACGTATGGCAATTCTGGGAAAAAATATCAAACTCGGGAAAGATACATGTAATATTCATTCTAATACCTCAGATTCACTATGTACAGGGTGATTCTAAATTTCTTTTACAAATTAAGAAGGGGACATAGAACATAGGGTCGCATTCCACTCCAAGAGGCAGAAAAGAAGACTAATAATATTCCAATCTGAACTTACAAAAAACAGTGTCGGCAGAGCGAATGAACGAGGCCAAATGTTGCACAATCAGTTTAGTGACAAACTCACAGAAAGTGCACAAAACGGATATAAAATCGAAAACTTGAAGTTTTAGTGTAATTAGAGCTGAGACTTTCATGGCTAACACTCAAATGCACATCTTTGATTGGCAAGGTCTCAACCTCGTAAACGATTGCAAAGATTTAATTATCTAAATTATTCGAGGGAAATTAGCTATTAGAGGAAAAAATACCTTGATATCAAGTATCAAGGTAGCAGTTGTTTTTCTCTTAGCCATCTTCTATCATATCTCCCTGGACTTACTCTGTTGTGCTCATTCTACTTGATGGGCCCTTCTATGGGATACGAAGTTCTGACAGGCGGAACTCAGTATGAGCTTTTCATGCTAATCTCGGCATGCAACGACGTTGGAGTTAGTTGATAATATTCAGCCCCTGATTACATAATTAACTTGTTGCAATCGTTTGCGAGGTTGAGACCTTGACAATCAAAGATGTGCATTTGAGTGTTTGCCATCAATGTCTGAGCTCGAATTAACACTCGAACGCCAATTTTTCGGTTTTATCCATTTTGTGTACAATGTGAGTTTGCGACTAAACTGTTTGTGCAACATTTGGGCTCATTCATTCTCTTTCCGAGCATTGTTGTAAGTTCAGATTGGAATTCTATTAGTCTTCTGCCTCTTAGTCTGTTCTGCCTCTTAGAGTAGAATGCGACCCTATGTTCTATGGTAATTATTGCTCATCTGGATGAGTACTATTCCCCCTCTTAATTTGTAAAGGTAACTTAGAATCACCCTGTATTTATTGTGAATATACGATACATGCATATATGGTCAGATAGAAAAAGCCTTTATTTTTGCAAATGGTAAGTTATGTAAAGGCATCTGAAGCCAAAAATATAAAAGCAAAAATTATTTAAATACGAAAAATGCGAAAGAAAGAAGCGTAAAATTTAAAAAATTTATTTTCAATTTTCATTGTCTTAACAAGTAATAATTAACACTTTGAATTAGAAGTAAGATACGAGAAGACTTTGGCGGGAAGCCTTTGCCCCCCCCCAAAAAAAATCGAAGAATAACGTAATGATTTTTAAGAATTAAAGCATATGCATATAAAAAAAGGCTAGATTAAAAAATGGTAAATAATATTTTAAATCATTAGTAAATAGATGTTGGTAATTACATCTATACTTTAAGTATAGATGTAATTACCAACATCTATTTACTAATGATTTTGATGTATATGCGTTGCAAAGTATCTCAACTATATAATTACATCTATATAGTTAAGATACTTTGCAACGCATATACATCAAAAGACATGATTGATTTGTATATAATTGGGTTTTCCTTTTTTACTTCCTTGCACGAAGTAAAAAAGAAGTATTGTAATCGCTAAAAGTTTCAGGCAGCATATTTCAAAGAAAATATCCCATTTTGACCTCATAATATTTTTGACCTCATATCCCATTTTGACCATAAATGCAATTTAACGATGTATTTCCGTGATATATGTACGTAGGGACAGAATAAAACACTCTTTTCCTCCAAAAAAATTATAAAACTGCTTTAAAATGAATTCTGAAGAGAATTTTTCGTGGCGTCTGTACGAACGTATGTACGTACGTATCTAGCATAACTCGAAAACGAATAGCCTCAGAACGTTGAAATTTTGTATATAGGACTGCTATAACATGTAGATGTGCACCTCGTATTTTGGTTGCAATCGGCCGCACCAAACGTATATAAATATATTTATATATATATCCACTCTGTTACCCGGCTCAGTGATCTCAGTTTCTTTACTCTTATATGTTTGTAAATTGTACATTTTTTGCTTTAAAAATGATTGAATTATGATGTTCTTATCCTTCGGTTAAGGTTTTTATGCCTTTAGTAAATCTGTATGCAATATTTTTAGAATTATCAACAATTTTAAAATTGTTTAAGTGCCGCTAAGCATAATAATGTTTTTAATGGCGGGCATTGCTCTTGTATACATTTGAAACAGCAGGATAGCGGATTTGTTTCCAATCTAGAGAAACTTAGCTTCGCAAGAACAAAGATAACGTTTTCATTTATTATTTAAATCATGCTTAATCCTTTCTGTAATTTTTTCGAGAAAATAAGCGTTTAAGATTTACTTCGTAATTTTTAATACAGATATTTTGAGTTTTTATGTATTTTTGCCTTGTCGTGAAGTGAAAACTGAATTAATTGAATGAGAAATACTCAATCGTCTGTGAAAAACTGTTTCTTTTTTTGTTTTGTTTGCTTAATTTCTTTTATACATCGATCTAGCTTTATTATAGTATTTGAATAGAACATGTGGCAACGATTAGATAATTCTTTAAATGATATAAAATTTGTGCATTCTGAGTTATAATATGGACGAAATATAATACTGTTAAGTGAACCTAGCGCCAGAATGTCGTTATGGTAAACAAAGTGAATTTTAAAGAATGCATTTATTCTATTGTGGTTTATGCGGTGTAGGCGAAGCAGGTTTAATTCAATCTAATAAGTTTAAACGAAATGCAAGAAAAAATGCGTATAATTTAATATTCCGTACAAGGAAGTCATGTGGTGTGCACATCAGATTTTTTATTTAAGTTAAGTAGGTTGTTATTCAAGTCAAAATTTGCTTAATTTTTTTCCCTTGCATTTTGCTTCAACAAAGGGTATTTTTAGAAAAAGTGAAATGATTATTATTTACTGATATAATAATTTACAGTAAATGATTTATTTACTGAACGCAAAATGCCAAACATACCGTTTCATGCAAAATTAGGTAGTGAAATCTTTTAAACTGCTTTAGCAGACAACACTTTTTACTTATTTATTTGAAGCAAAAACTCTAAAAACAATGAAATTAATTTGAATACCATTCTTTTCTATTGTTTAATTGAAATAAACAATGGAATTGATTTTTTGTTTACTTTGGTCGTTAATCTGAATGAGAAATAATTTTTAATTTCATAAACACATTACGTCTTTCGCATTAACTGAATTGAACTGAGGTATTAGTACTTTTAAATGACATAAAATAATATAATTAGGTAAAAAATCAATTTTATTTTGACTATTTTGACGTAGGCTGAAAATAAAACTCTATCGATTTCAAGCGCAATCAGAAACAAATTCCTGTTTAAAAAAAAAAAAAAATTAATTACATTAAATTTAAAAAATAATAATAAAAAAAAAAATAAATAAAATCTGACAGCTTTCAGAATTTATATTACGCCTAAAGGGGTGTTTTACTAACGTTCCATGTGTTACCTTAATTTATTAAATATCATGTTCTTCGCACTTAAACCACAATAAATTCAATTCAATAGCAATAAAACTAAATATTTAAAAACAGCATATTTTTAGAATTTTCGACAGACAGTCTAGCGTGCTGGTGATAAAATTTTATTTTCGTATTGCCATTGCTCGCTTTGAAATCCTTGTAGTTGGTTAATCAAAAATTCGTTAAAGGTTTACAAAATATGAAATAGATAATAAAACAAATTCGAAATTCAAAATTCTGTTTTCCAGGTAATATTCACGTGGAGGATTCAAAATTTCATAGCACTAGGTATCGTCGTTTTTCACAATGCGAGAAACATACATTCATGCAGATTCTTCGTTATTTAATTTCTTTTAATTTCTTTAGATATAATACAGAGAGATAACATTTGATGGCAACAATTTAAAAAGTGATACGTCGTTTATAGTGAACCGACACAAAATGTCGTTTCGAAACTAATAGCCAGTATTATTTATCTTCAGTCCTTAGTCTTATTATCCCATATGATAGCGTATAATATTTAGCCTTTAGTTGTACTATCTCGACTAAGGGCTATCAGTCGCTTCTGGGTCTATTTAGTACTCATCTGGACAATTATTAAAAAAAAAAAAAAAAATGCTCCAGGCAAAACGTTTTCCATGAAACTTCCACATGAGTTCCATTGTATACATTGTTACATAAAGTTATCTAATTATTCATAGAAATTAAATTTCCAAATTCGTTTGAGATTTTAGTAATTTTGTATATGAATTTACGATATTTAACCTAGTATTCTTCATACCCCCCACGCAGATGTTCATATACAAAGGTATATTTTTTACCTTTGGGCAGTTTAGTCTAATGCACCGGTGCCCAACCGGCTTTGCCTTAAGGGTTACTTTAAATTTTGCCATGACTCAGAGGAACTCGGTCTTATAACAATGCCATGAAAATATGTGAATTTACTGGATTATTTTGTGTTTAAAAATAATAAGGCAATTTAATACGAACCTACAAAAAACTGAAGATAATCTGTTATAACCGCGAATGTAGTGTAGGTCCAAGCTATTTTTATTTCAAATTAGAAAATAAAGAAAATCACGTACTATTGATTAATTACTAATGCAAGAAAATCCAACTGTCAGATATCTC